CAGATTTTTGCTCCTGAGTCAAGATTGTAGTTTCAAACTCTTGTGTCATTGTTATTGTTATCATGTCATTCACAATGCATTACATATTATGATGAATGATTAATAATATTGTGTTGCTGCCCCGCCGTAACACTTTGTTATACCCTGCAATTATAGCTTTCACTTTCACTTCCATATGAGGTATTGCATTGCAGACCTTGAAAAATTAAGAAAACTTCCAAACCTTTCATTGTTGCACATGTTCCAGGTACTCCCAGCCGCTGCATGAGGAGATCGCTCTGCACAAGAGGCTGAAGCACAGGAACATCGTCCAGTACCTGGGCTCGGTCAGCCAGGACAGTTTCATCAAGATCTTCATGGAGGAAGTACCAGGAGGTAGTGATCCCAACATTTAAACTTCTAACACTTGAGAGCTGTAGTTAATGTTTGATATAGATCACACCTGTTTTACTGCTTTGCTCAAAAATGAGAAACTGTGTGTTTGTCTAGAAATGGACCAGGGTGCGTCAAATTAGTTTTTGGAAATAATACACAGAAGACGACACAGTGATCCCGACAAATAAATGTATATACTCATAATATTCCATCATTAAATGAGTGTTTGTGGATAAAAAGTCCACTTAAAAATTCCAAAATATAAAGAAAGCTTCTGTCCTTCTGTCCATGCATTTTTACAGGACAATGAATCTGTCTTATGTGATGTGTTGAGATGTTCAAATGCATGTGTGATTATGCAACATCAACTGGAAGCCACTTTTAGGGAAGTTGTTGGTTTCAGAGGAATCCTGCCCTTTGGAGCCAAAGTGACAGTAGTTATTGTCTGATACCACTGGGTGTATTTTAGAGAATGTTGAGAAATAAACGGGTAACGTGGAAGCAAAACATTTCAACCACAAGATTCTATAGAAAATGAACCAGCATTTAAAATTTCACATTATTGCTTGTAGGAAGTTTGTCCTCTCTCCTGCGCTCCAAATGGGGTCCTCTGAAAGACAACGAAGCCACCATCATATTCTACACCAAACAGGTCCTCGAGGGGCTCAAATATCTCCATGACAACCAAATCGTCCACAGAGACATTAAGGTGAACAGACCATCCAGGGACGCATATGGATTTTTTTATTTTGCTGAAAAATGTGCAGAATAGCATTTGTGAAACATCTTAATATGAGACTGAATCTTTGCTGCAGGGTGACAATGTATTGATCAACACGTATAGTGGAGTATTGAAGATCTCGGACTTTGGAACCTCCAAACGTTTAGCAGGGATCAACCCCTGCACTGAGACATTTGCTGGTAAGATTCTGCATA